TATATATATATATATATGGGCAAGGTCGAAGCATACCATTAAGAGCCATAAATTTTAAAAATTAAAAAATCAATTCTATATATTTCATAAAATCATGCTAAAAAGATTATTATATAAATATGAAAAAAAATTTATTTCAAATGTGCTATTTTATAGGAAAAAAAGTTACAAGATTTTTTTATATAATAAGGGAATGTGAATTTTAGGGGAAGGGGTAAAAAAAATTGGAGGAAAAGAGAAAATAAAATAAAGAGAAATAAATTTTTTTGGAAGAAGTAATGGAAAAATATATAATTGACTTTTAGTGAAAGAATGAAAAATAAAAATAAAAATAAAATTTATTTATGATAGTAACATGATTCAAACTTAGGTTTTTTTCAATAAATTTTCGTATAAGCTAATTAACAACTGGATAGTTTATAAAAATAAACTTAAAACATCTTATTGACTACACATAAAATATTTTATAAATTTGTCAAAACACTTTCATAAGTACTTATAGAATAAGATAAGCACAAATAAGTTGTTCATAAGTTCTTCCAAATAGGATTGTAGTCCTTATAATTTAAAATAGATATTTTTAATCTTCATACTTGTAATTTTTTAATTTTTTAATCCTTGTAGTTATTTTTTTTAACATTATCTCTTTTGTGTTGATGTGAAAAATGTATTAATTCAACTTTGTGCTTATGTCTAATTTATTTTGTTGAAATGACTCTAAATAATTAAATAGGTTTTTTTATACTTCGTGACTCTTTTGTACCTCACTTGCAACGCTCATTATTAAGACATCATTTTTTTGCTCTTATAAAATTGAAGACATACCCGATTTTTTTTGCTCATTATTAAGTACATACTCGTACCCATTCCCGTACCCGATTTAAGATATCGAGTTTTACCCGTACCCGTACCTGTTCAAACTGGGTATTCCCCGTCAAAGTCGGGACGAGTTCGGGTATTACCCTCAGGTACAAGTATATTTGTCATCCCTATGTGTGAGGTCCTTTAAGGATCATGATTTCCCAATGTTGTTCTCTAGTGCGCAATATAGCACGACATCTCCATTCACAATCGTGGTGAACGCATTCCACGAGAAGCCTAGTAGTGTTTGAATGCTTAACCTTGTAAGTGCAACGATTGACAATGTGAAATCTGTTAATGGCATCTTATACTTGTTCTGTTAATTACTTGATGTTACTCTTTGAGACTACGTTCACTACAAAAAATAGGTAATTATTGACGATTTTTTTTTGCGGTTTCCATAAACCGCCAAAAAATGTTACATTTGTTGCAAGGTTGGCAATTGTAACAAATTATTGATACTTTCTGGCGGTTCGAAACCGCAGGAATGGTAAGCATTACCGTGTTGGCACTTTCTGGCAGTTTTAAACTGACAGAACGTTCAATAAATTTTTTTTATTAAAATTAAACTTAAAAAAACATTTTTAAAACGAAGTCCGCAATCTGTGCGAGTAACTTTACTTTTGAAAATTTCACAATTTCACTAACAATAGGAAACAACATGCAAGAGCAAGAGGAGAAACTAGAGAAAACCAATTCGCGCGGAAGAGTGAAGCTTCAATTTGTTTAGTTTTCTTCTTCCACTGAATCCCATAGCGAGAGGGAAGCACACGTCAGCTTCTCGCAAGCTTGGTACGTTTCAATTTCAACTTTTTGCTTTTGATTTTCGCAAAACCCTCATTTCCGCAAACTCCTCTCAGGTAGGAAGAACAAACCACCGCACGCATCCACTTCCGCGCCAAAATCACCACAATCTCAATCGGTAACCCTCTCTCTCTTTCTCTTCGCATTTCCGATTTGTGAAATCCCTAACGACCTTTGTTTCTAAATTTCAATACTGTGAATGAAAATGGAATAACATAAAATGGAAAGTGGTAGGTTGTGCAGTAATGCACACTAGGTAATGTTTAATAAGAGTTATCATCTTCATGCAAGTATTAGATATGCATAAAAACATCCTATTCTCAGATTTTGGAAACGCAATGCCTTGACCGGTTCAATAATTAATTTGATTTGGAAAACAATACTTAGATCAAATACATGAAAAATGGATAACTGTTTCTAGATATTTTTGAGCTCTAGATTTTTTTTTCTTTTTCATATAGATAAATGAGCATTGCCGACATAAGCAGGAAACAATTCTCTATTAGTTTGTTGTCCTGCTTTGTTAGAACTTCTAGATTTGCCAATTAATTTCTGACAGCATAGCATATATAAACTTAGATTTTGATTGCTGTTACATATTAAAATAGTTTTTTTCATAATTTTCATTCTGTTTCAAAGTATCTTACAGTTTGATTAAAGTATCTTACCTGCTGGTATGAATCAGTTTGATTAAAGTATCTTACAGTAACACTCAGAATATTTGTTTCAGCCTCCTCCACTTCTCGCGCCTCTTCTGCAGGTATTCCTAACTCCAAATCCTCTCTCGCTATTTGAATTCAATTCAATTGTTTGGTGCTAATGCTCAATTTGCATGTGCTGGTAATTGACCACTGATTAGTGATTAGTGATCACACTCCGTTCGAAGTAACGGAGACCTCAACAGTTAGTTAGTTACTGTATTATGGTTTTTCTACTCTGTTGTTGCTATTCTTGAATTGGATTTGGATTTTTTTAGTGTTTTTTTATTGTTATTTTTTTCTTTTTTCAATTTCTATATTTGAATCGCGTAATTGATCACCAGGATTTGAATTCTTGTGTTTGGTTTTGTCAATCACAATTCAATTGCATACTATATTCAGTATTTAGGAGTTTATGTAGGAATTATGTTTTAGTGGATGCAAATGTTAATCATTAATTTATGTCAGAAATATATGATTTAGTGATTTATGGAAATATCAATTTGGTTGAGTGGCGCGTGCCATTCGCTAATGTGGGAGAATAGAACACCCTAAAACCTAGTTGTTTTTGCAGAATTCATAAATCCATATGGAATCCGTTCCTCGTCCCAGACTCAGAATGATTCTGATTCTTCGTCTGAAAGATTGTCATGACAGCAGAAATGGAAAATCAACATGGCAATTTGGAGCTTAGTTACAACAATGAGGAATTTCGATTAGAGGGAAATAGTAATGATGGTTACATGGACAAGGCATGCCTTTATAATCATTCCTCTGTGGGGGATGGAACTGTGACTTTTTCAGAAGGCAATTGTCATGTTGATAGCAATGACCTGTTTGAAGGGGAATTAGAGGGCAAGGCTGAAAATCACACTGTTTCCTGTAGTTGTGAAGTTCATTTTGCAAAAGCAGTCCAGGTTCAGGTTTATCATTTTCCTAGTGAAATCTAATTAAATTTGAGTATGTTTATCATTTAGACTAGAGCGTTGATACTAGGCTTTTAAGAAGACTGTTGACTTTTTTTATTGTTGATTATTTATATTTAAATTTGAGTATGTTTATCATTTAAATAATGGAGTGGTTTTAATTAGTAGTCATTGAGGCCTCTGTGGTTTTAATCTTTTCTACTAAAAAAAAATACTAATCATAAAAGCATAAAAGGTTCAAGAGTACTGAAAATTTAATCTTCTCTCAAAAGGTATATTAACTGCCTCTCTTTCAAGTGGAACAGCTATTTGGTCACGAGTGTACAATTAACTAGCTAAGCTAGGTCTAGGTGACACTTGAAATTGACATGGCAAATGTTAGGTTAGTTTCTATGATGATAAAACTAGACTATTACAGATTTTGTCTTCTACCTTATCGTGATATGAAGCTTTGGCATAAATCACGAAATGATTAAATTCTAATATCTTCTTTAATTAAATTTTTAAAGTTAAATCTTTAACCTCTTGCAGAAATTTAGATAAGTAATATGAGCACTAGATCATCGCAGTTCCTCCTTTTTTTAAGAAAAATTTAGATGAATTTTATGACGGTTTTAAACCGTCATAAACTGTAAAACAAGTAACATTAAAATTCATTTTGTGGCGGTTTATAACCGCCACAAAGTGATTGAATTTTCTGACGTCTAAAACCAGCGTTTACAAAATCTACACTACAAACCGTTTTTGGCGATCGTGGATCCGACGGTTGTTAATGACGCTGGTAATACCATTTGTGGCGGTTTTTAACCGCCAGAAACGGTCAAAATAACCGCCACAAATCACATTTTTTTGTCGTGGTTGTATTTGTGTTGAAAGGGAAAATTGTGTTCGCTGCAATGTTAAGTTTGAAGTTAGATTTAAAGGAAACACCTTCGAAGTATGAAACTATAGTGTCTTAAACTTAAAAACACGAGATGATAATAATGGGACCTTGTCTTAATAGATTCGAAACTTGTACGAGTCAAACTATGGCTAATAATGAAAAATCTGGATAACCTGCACATCACATTACGAAAACATGTCCAAATAATGTATAATTATAATAGTTTATAAGCTAAACATTAAACTTCATATAGTGCATAGAATTGGGCAGAACGGGCCGTTCCAAAAACAGAACGACCCGTTCCAAACTACTAAAAAGGGCTAAAATCCCTAGTTAGAACGGGTTGTTCCAACATTGAGGTTATGTGAAAAAACTCAACTATAGAACGGCCCGTTCTGATTTAAGAACGGGCCGTTCCAGTTGCAAAATAACACGACGAGAATGCATGCAGAACGAGCCGTTTTAGTTGCAGAACGAGCCGTTCCAGTTGCAAAATTCTCAGATTACCTGGACTTAAAACGGAAAAAAAAATGTAAACAGTAAATGATTCTAATTGGGGAAATAGATTTGCACAGGTGCTATTTGGGTAAATTTATTTTAAAAATATATTATTTGAGTAAAAAATTCGACAACTTTCTATTATTATATCACATATAATTACATCATAAGGTTTCAAGTTTCTTTTCAAACATAACAGAAAAACTTAT